TTGTGAAATATGTAACATGGGAAATGCATGATGAAATGATGAATATAAATGTGTTATCTAAACTTAAAAATCGTATGGGCATGCATGTTAAATAAATATAAATGTGTGTTATCTTAAAAATCATATGTACATGTTAAATAAATATAAGGATGTTAAATAAATATATGCCATCATAATGAAAATAATAATGATAATGATAAAAAATAATAATAATATAGAAAAATAATTCACAATCTAATTTCCTTGCCCTGGCTGTCTTTTTGAACTTTCAATCCACCTTTTCCACTATCCAAATGCACATTTTCTTTTTTTAGATTCAAATTTGCTAATGTTTAACACAATTTTATCCCAAAACTTTTTCATATAAATTTTGAAATTTGTAGTAAACTGATTATGTGTGGTGGTGACATTAAATTGTGTGTTAATTTGATCATGAATCTCCTTCAATTCAATAAACCAGAATTTTGTTTTTTCTTCAATTTTTAATCCTTTTTCTTTGATATTATTATTGACATTGTGATAATCAAATGTTTGGTTAATATTAAAAATTTGTGGTAAGAAACCTTCAAAGAATGGTGCCAAAGTTGTAGAATTATTTGATTTCTTTAATAAGTTCAAATGTACCAATTCAAATGGAACATTATTCTTACAAAATTCTTTGTAAACAAATATGATCAGTTCGAATGCACAACTGGTCATGTTTTCTGGTATCTGTCTTTCAGGATGAAGTGACAATTCTTTATCAATCCATATCTTGGATATAATTATATCATTGAAACATAATCTTGTGACAATTGAATCAGGTTTGAAGTTTTTTATTACCCACTTGTACAAATTGCCACTCAATTTCAATGTTCTTATATCATGTGGATAAGATTTGTGGCCATAAGCATAGTAATGATTAATAGGTTCTTCAATAATTTTTTTGTTGAAAAGTTTGAAAATTTTGTCATTGATGTGAGTATAAAAGCTACTTGACTTAAAATTTTGAAATTCGATTTTGTTCCTAGTAGTATCACCAAAATAATAAACTAGAGCTCTAAGATAAACAGGTTCTAAATTGAAGAAACAACAAAATTCTGGTTTATTGAATTGAAGAAGATTCATGATCAAATTAACACACAATTTAATGTCACCACCACACATAATCAGTTTACTACAAATTTCAAAATTCATATGAAAAAGTTTTGGGACAGAATTTTGTTAGAAACTGGATTACATTAGCAAATTTGAATCTAAAAAAAGAAAAGGTGCGATTGAAAGTTCGGCTAGGACAAGGAAAATTGGATTGTGAATTATTTTTCTATATTATTATTATATTTTTTATCTATTTTCATTATGATGACATATATTTATTTTAAGATAACATACATTTATATTTATTTACATGCCATATGATTTTTAAAATAAGATACACATACACAATGAATCTCAATTTAGCGGATCGTTTGGGCAATTAGGGAAAATTTTTCAAAAATATGTTAAACTGAGATATCTGCTATGTCTAGAAGGTTGTTATTAAGGTTTATTATGGAAC